TTCACAGGAATCCCTTTTGCAGACAGCGTCATGCTTGGTGTTCAGAATTCTTCAGAGTAGCCAACTCAGTGTGCCAATTTGTTTTTGAAATTTTAGTACCTAGAGTTAACCTTTATCACAAAATAGCAGCTGCTACTACCAAAAATTAGGGCTCACACTGAAGCAGGGCATATAAAATATGCAAATACCTTTATCTCTGGAAATTGTGTGACACATTCATAGCTGTGAAAGGTGAACAGAAGACACAATCAATAAGAGTGTTTTCATGCACACATTTAGCTTATGTGTTTTTCCTACATGCACCATTATTTTGAATGTGGTAGGGTGAAACAGCAAGGAGAACAAAATCCATTTCCAAGTGGAGATGCAAAAGCCAAGCACCTTCTGTATCCAGGCATCTCCTTTCAACAATAATGTCTTGTTTGTTTCTGAACAGAGTAGGGGAAAAAGGAGGGAGGTAGTGGTGGTGGTTGAACGACCACAAAAAAGGCTTAAATTATTACATGGACAGCATGAATGAACAGCAAGTGTTCCCTATTCAAGAGGAAGAGCTGTTGCTCATATGCTCAGAGAGACATTTTCTCCTGAATCCATTGCCTTATTCTGTCTCTCTCTTTTCCCCTTTATTTTATCTCTCCTATTTTCTGCTCACAGTCTTACAACCTGATCCATACCATCAAACATGTTAATTTATTCTTCTATGTTCAGGTATGCTTCCATCAGCGTAAGAAGTACATCTGTAAGCAGACTAACTCCTTAGAGATGAAAGGTATGTGCTAAAGTTCCAAGCATAGTGTTGACTACACAGATGAGTATCAATGAAGAGCTGCTGAACTGAGTTCCACCGCCCAGAACTAGACCGAGGCTCTGTGCAGATAAATAGCGTTGCGTTCAAGTCAAAGGCTAACATTCTTCTTGCCCTTTTTTATGACGGAGGCAGGAAAAGGCCAGGATTAAAAGATCCAGAATATTTCCTACCACGATACTTAATAATTGGAGTCCTGGTCTGGTGCTGGACAGCTAACCAAAAGCTTGGCAGTACACATTCACCAGCTGCTCCTCGGAAATCCTATACAGAGTCGCTATGAGTCAGAACCGAGACCACGACGCACCACCACCACCACCACAAGTTGTAACTGACTCCATAGCACTTAATAACAACAACAATATTTTTTAAATGTTCCTGAAATTAAGTATCCTTTTCCCAAAGATTATATAATGTGTCATGCTCAGAGTAAAGCAATATAAAAAAAACACCTATATGCATGTCTCTCTGTGTGTCTTTGTATGTTATATGCATATGCATGCATGTGTACTACTATTTGCCATTTGCTCATTCTCAAAGCCATTGAAAGGAACTTTACCAAAACCAAGTATTTTTTTCATAACTAATTCATTCAGCTATACTTTTTAAATAGAAAAATGTCTTGCATCCAACTCTTATATAGTACAATATATCTGATTGTTTTTCCTCTTACAGACAGAAACTATGTTTATATTTCACGCCTTCATACTCGCCACTTTCTGCCTTTGCTAACTTTAATGGCTCATTAACTTAGAACTTCATGTATCCTTAATGTATCTTAAGAGCAGATGACAAAATTCTATTGCATTTTTCATGAATTAAAAGAAAGAGCCTTTCTAAAATCAATTTAAAAATTAATTCTGGAAAGCCTAGTCTACTGACTAATTATTTGCATTGTTTTTATGTAAAACACACGTTATAAGCAATTTACAAGATGCTAGTTGATGCAAAAGGACTTGATAGCCTTCGAGTGATCTGCCCTACTCGATACTAAGAAAGCCTGTTCACTAGCAGATGGCTTCCTAAAATGTCACCAGAGCACATGAGCTCAGTGCAGAAAGGACAGATACATGCATTTCAAAAATCAGTAATAGTTTTTTTTTTTTTTAAGGTTTTGTTTGTTTGTTTTTTATGGTCAAGTGTGACTCTGATCTCTATGAAAATAGATCATTTTAAGCAGTTTCCTCTTTTTTTGCTATTCAGGGCTCTGCGTTAATCAGTTCAGAGGAAATGTCTAGCTGTAATTGCTGTGCCTGGTAATAACAAATTTCAAGCTCTACTATTCAAGAAATAAGTAAGTTTCAAGTTGTCGTCTTCCATTTATTTCTCTTCTTTTCTTCCAGTCCAAGAAGGAGCTCTGGTAGCGTAGTGGTTACAAATCGGGCTGTGAACCTCAGGGACAGCAGTTCTAAACTACCAGCGGTTCTGCAGGAGAAAGCTGAGGTTTTCTGCTCCCATAAAGATTTACAGCCTCAAAAACCCCGTACAGGGTCCCTATGAGTCAGAACCGACTCCACAGCACATAACCACCACCAATTATCCCTACAATTGCAGATCTCTTCTGGCCCCACTTGTCCTTCCATTTTTAAATCGATGTGTTCACTAGTCCAGTTCCACCTTTTCAGGGGAAACATTTTTTTGAGGACCACCAATATTTTGAGGACCACCATGAAATCCTGGCGTGTCGCTATAGGACAAGCACTTGACTGCCAATCACAAGTTTGGTGGTTCAAACCCACCAGCTGCTCCTCAGGAGCCCTATACAGAGCCGCTATGAGTCAGAACTTACTTGATGGAATTTAATAACAACGTCTCAAATCTCCAGAGAATGGTACCATGTCCTACCAACTATGCCATTTATATCAAGTGAGGTAACATATTTGATAGTACCTGTTAAACATTAAAATAATATATAAAAAGAACATTTGTATATATAGTAAGTCCTCAGGTAATAAACATCTGACTTACGGACAATTCAAACCTGCCCTTTAGTATTGTGGAAATTTGCCTTCACTTTGAAATAACTGAACCAATCCCTACTTGCATCAAATTGCTTATGACCTTCACTTGCTCCATTGCAGCTTTTATATCACAGAAAAGGTTTCCAGTCTTTTCTTGCACTAAAGTAAGGCGAAATAAGAACTGCATTCAATTGTTTCGACATACTGATGCACTCTCCTTAAAGATACACTTAGAATCGAATCTTGTTCAATACCTGGTGTGATACTGTGAATTAAACCTCTTCTGCTTTGGTCTCTGTAATTCTCAACAGTCATTTATTGTTGTTGTTGAGTGCTGCGGAGTCAGTTCTGATTCAAAGAAACCTGGTATAGGGTTTCTGAGAAGCAGGTGGGTAGGAATCTTGCAGTTGGCAGTCCAGTGCTTATCCTACAGTACCACACCAGACTCCAATGACTGGGTTGTTGTTATTGTTAAGTGCTGTCAAGTTGGTTCTGACTCAAACTTACCCTGAATAGAATGGCTGAGGAGTGTAGCTGGTTGATTTGAACCACCAACCTTCTGGTTATCAATCCAGTGCTTATCCTACAGCACTACACCATGCAAACAGGGTATATGGAACTCTGGCATGAGGACTGGTTAAATTTGTCGTACTGCTTGACTTAAAGGAACTATCTCAGAAGCAGGAAAAGACAATCCTGGGACCATCAAGAAAGAAGATTCCTGTACAGAAAAGCAGCAGAGGCAGAGGTGGTGGCAAATACAGTGCGGCCGGTTTCCTGGCCCATAGATTAAGTGAAGTTGAGTGCTTGCTGGCAGAAGGCTAGATTGTAACATGGTCTTTTGGGCATTTATCTGCAATGCTAAAGCATTTTGTAACACTTGCAGGAGCAGAGCAGAGGTTAAGGGGTCATGTAGCTAAAAGGCAGAGAACAAGAGAGGTGGGTGGTATGGTTGAGAAGAGGTGCTTTTGACCAGAGAACCGCTGTATCTAGAGTTTTTCTCATCCTGAAGTGTACGTACCCTGTCAACTTCCTTAATAAACCCATAACTGTACTGTCTTTGACTTCGGTGTGGCCATTGCAATGGATTAGCAAACCCAGAAGAGAAGAAGCACAGTGTCATGGGAGGGATGGTTCTTGTCAAATAAGGTAAAGGAGATGGGAGAAATCAGCCTTGGGCTGGTGACTCTTCTTCCTTTGAGTAACGCCAGAGGAGTTCGGACACAGCCACCCCTCACTTTTTTTTTTTGCAACTGGGTGCAGCCTGTACCTCTCCAAATGATCTATCCATTTTATTCTACAGAACAGTCTTTTAACTGAGTTTGGGTGAGTCCCAAACTCATTCTGCTTGAATACAACCTAAACTCCAAAGCCTGAGTTCTCTTCAGACAACGAGGAGATCAACTCACGTCATTCTGCTGCTCAGAATCCTTCAACAGTTCAAACTGGATCCCCTCTCAATTCCAAACATTCCAATTGACCACCACAAGTCCCAGCTACCATTTTAGGCTTCTCCACCACTACACACCCTTCTACTTTGTCTGTCCAAATACCTCCAATTCCATCTCCTCCAAGAGACCCCCCGGTGATAACATGTTTTCACAGTCCCTCAAAACTCTCTCTCATACTCTGTAAACTTTGTCATGTGTGAAAGCTGTTGACTTACAGATAGTTCTCTCTTGTTAAGTTTACATACCACTAGGGGGAAATCCTCCCTTGTGAACACTTACTGTTATTGTTAAGTGTTGTCGAGTTGGTTCCAGTGGATTTGAACCACTGACCTTGGGGTTAGCAGTTCAGTGCACATGGAAAATGTTCTATAACAAAGTACTGAACTGAGTACTAAGAATATGAAAATGATCGTTTGTATCTTGTAGAAAAGTCTAAGGTTTATTTATTTATTTTTAAACTTTTTATTATGAATCAAGCGAAGGTTTACTGACAAGATCATCAGTTCTACATTCAACAAATCATGTCATTTGTTTCGTCTCAATGATTGCAATCCCCTCCGTGGAACAAGAGTTGTCCTGTTTCCTCCCTGTGGTTACTCATGTACAAAGATCCTCCTTCAAGCTCTTATATCTTTATGGGATATATAAATACATATATATTTCATGCATCCTCCCATACCTATTCAGCCTGTATCTCCATTCATATGTCTACACACAGAACACTGATTCCAGGGTTGTGTCTACATCAACTATTTACCGCTATCCCACTGAGCCCTTGCATACCTGTGTCATCATCTAGCGTCATTATTTTGCCAACTTCCCTCTTCTTGTATACCACCCTTTCCATCATCCAAGTTGGAATCCTGATGTGGCCCTGTGGGCTAATGCACTGGACTGCAAAGTTGGTTTGAACTGCAAGGTTGGTGGTTCAAACTCACAAACTGCTCCTTGGAAACGCTATGGGTCGGAACCTACTCAACAGTACACAACAACAACAATCACTCAAGTTAACATGTATCTAGCCTCTAGCCAGTGAATTACTCTCCCTTCCCTCCCACCCAAGGTAACCATCAAAATGTTTCTTTTAGCATGAAAACCTTTTCTTGAGTTTTGACAGTAGTGGTCTCAGAATACTTGCCCATTTGTGATGGGCTTACTTCACTCAGCATGATGTCCTCCAGGTTCATCCATGTGATGAGGTGTTTCACAGATTCATCATTATTCTTCAACATTGCCCAGTATTCTATTGTGCGTATGCACCAAAGTTTATTAATTCTTGCTTCCATTCATGGACACGTTGGCTTTTTTTTTTTTTTTTTCTATTGTGAATAGAGCTGCAATGAACACTAGTGTGTATAAATCTACTTGAGCTCTGGCTCTTATTCCTTGTGGGTATACATCAAATAGAGGGATTTGGGGGCCATACAATATTTCTTTTTCCAACTTTCTGAGGAAGTAACTTATGATTTTCCACAGTAGTTGAGCCATTTTACATTCTTACCAGCAATGCAGGAGGGTCCCCATCTCTCCATATCCTCACCAGCATTTGTTTTATGTTTCTTGAACTTTGTTATTAATGTTGGTGTGAGATGATAGCTCATTGTTGTTTTCATTTGCATCTCTCTAGTAGCTAATGAATGTGAACATTTCTTCATATGTTTGTTCTCTGCCTGAATGTCTTCTTGGTTGAAGTGTACATTCATGTCTTGTGCCTATTTTTTAATTTGCTGATTTGTCTTTTTCTTGTAGATGTGTTGTAGTTTTCTATAAATTTTAGATATTAGCTGCTTGTCTGATATGTTGTTGCAAAAAAAAACTTTTCCCAGTCTGTTGGCTCCCTTTTTACTCTTGGTGAAATCTTTTGATACACATAAGTGTCTCATTTGATCTATTCTGTGTGTTTTAAGTAATGTCTGATAGTGCATTTATGTCATGTTTTTAAGCTCCTAAATTTATCCCTACTTTTTCATTCATGATGTTTATACTTCTAGGTTTTTACATTTAGGTCTTTAATCTTCATTGATTTTGCTTTTGTATATGGTGTAAAATTTGAGTTTTGTTTCATTCTTCTGCGAATGGATTTGCAGTTTTGCAAACTATAGTTTATTTTTAAGGGAGCAATTAATGCTCGTCATATATAGTGAAAACAAACCACTTGGGCCTGATAAATAATGTAAGTTTTATTATAAAAAGTACACAAAATGAATTGCTAAAATAATAAAAATGTAACTAAATCTTTGTCTATTGGTGGTGGTGGTGTGCTGTGGAGTCAGTTCTGACTTATAGCAACCCTGCATAGGGTTTCTGAGGCTGTAAATCTTTACAGGAGCAGAAAGCCTCACCTTTCTCCTTCTGAACTGCTAGTAGTTTCGAACTGCTGATCTTGAGGTTCATTGCCCAACTCCTAGCCACTCTGTTATCAGAGTCTCTTAAATCTTTGTCTATTGCATGCTGTTTTGTTAAGTGCTGTAAAGTTGTTTACAACTCAAAGTGACTTTAATAGGGTTTTCCAGGAGAGGACTGTGGATCTTGAGGTTAGCAGCCCAGTGCTTATAGTACAGTGATGAGGGGGCTTCCAAAAGTTTGTAGAAAAATGTAGTTAAAAGACAATGCAAAATTTCCACAAACTTTTTGAAGTCCCCTTGTATAAGTGAAAACAAAAAGTCAAATTTTAACAAATTATGCATGGAGAAAGAAAACAACTAAGAAAAGGGAGCAGCAAGATATGCAGTAGTTGACAAAATGAAAGGTACTATGTGCTAGCAAATGGCACTTAGGACCCCAGCTTGGCTCAGTTTCCCCCCAGCTGCTGATGGACTTGACTCTCTGGCCCAATGCCAGGACCGTCTGGCCTCTGGAAGTTCTCTGGACTTGTAAAGACTCTGAGGCCAACTTCTGGAGTCCTAGGATTACCCTGAAACTGACACTGCCTTCAGAAGGGGAGAGAGGGATGGGAAGTTTTCCAAGGCCTTTGTCCCGGGCCACTGACTTTGTCTTAGGAAAGCATAAAACTTGCCAATATCTCTACTTTAAGAAAAATAAACTAGGATTACTAGTATCACAAGGGTGGCCTCGATTCACGGTTTTAAACCCAGGCTGTACTCTGTAATCAATTGGTGAGTTCTTAAAAGAATATCCTTGTCTGGGCTCAGCACTTACACACTATGATTTACTTGATCTGGGGTGGGGCCCAGGCATCATTATGCTTTAAACTCTCCCCAGGTAATACCACAGTGCAGCCAGGACTGAAAGCCACTGACATAAATCAATGGTTGTCAATCTTTGTGGTTTTTGTCTTTTTTTTTTTTTTTTCACAGCAACAAACATGCCAACAATATCTGTCTATATCATTCACTCCATGGACACACTAAGTTCTCATGCCATGTATGCAGCGGGAGGTACCACCTTATATATCCCATTCAATAGGACACACCAGAATGTAAGTGAATAAAGCAGTCATGATAGAATTTTTGTTTTTTTCAATTTGATGACCCTGAGAAGTTCTAGAAAGCTCCTTACCTGTGGTGACCATTTTGTTATTCTATGCAGACCATCGACTGCTTGTGACTGAGACCAGACCATTGATGACACAGACCATCTCTCTTAAAAGTGGTCACTGTCAACAGACACAATTTCTTTTATCCCCACCCAATGTGCTGAATTAATCATTTCATCGTAAATACCTAGGATTAAGACCCAAATCTTATAGGTGAAGATACTGTCCCATGAAATTCTCCAAGACATAATCTTTAAGACATTTCTCCAGCAAAGCCAGTGGGTGGGTTAGAACCACCAAACTTTGGGTCAGCAGACAAATGCAACCTTTGCACTGCCAGGGCTCCTTATTGGAGCTTTGTTGTTGTTGTTGTTAAGTGCAGTAGAGTCGGTTCCGACTCATAGTGACCCTGCACAGGGTTTCTGAGGCTGGAAATCTATATGGGAGCAGAACAGCTGGTAGTTTTGAACTGCTGACCTTGCGGTTCTTAGTCCGATTTGTAACCACTACGCTACCAGAGCTCCTTTATTGGAGCTTTACTACTCAAGAAGTAAACAGCCCAGCCAGTGAATATGAAAACAGAGACAAACTCTGAACTGCTAACAGTGAAGGCCCAGGAGAAAAGGATCAGATAATCCTCAAAAGTGGAAAAGTACCGATAGTCATGCTATGAATATTTCAAAAGAAAATCCTTCTTTCCTACTAATTAATAAATTATACCTACAGATAAAGGCTGATGAGTTCAGACCACTGACCTTTTGATTAGCAGGTAACCACTGCATCACCAGGCCTGTTTTCGGATATATGAGGGGCTTCAAAGAGCCTGAATGGACTCTTTTCAAATAGACTAAAAAGAAAATGGAATTTTGCCATGAACTCTTTGAAGGCCCCTTGTATGAGGCCTATATTTCCAAGAAAACCTGTAATGCCAATTTGTCTCTTGTCTGGTAGCGTAGTGGTTACGAATCGGGCTGTGAACCTTAAAGTCAGCAGTTCGAAACTACCAGCTGTTCAGGAGAAACATGAGGCTTTCTGCTCCCGTAAAGATTTATAGCCTGGGAAACCCTGTACAGGGTCACTATGAGTCGGAACTGACTCCACGGCACATAACAACAACAACAAATGTACTACACAAGTGGATTCATAGTTATGGAATAAGTTTACATTAACCAGGACCCTGAGTGGCAGGGTTTTACGTTTATACATTATGCAAATAGCAGAAGAATAAAGATAGACATTTTAATACAGTAGAATTTTTAAGCAGAAAATGTCAACTCAAACCTTTAAAATTATATTAGCAACAAAGCCACAAGTTAAAAAAAAAAAAAAACTTTAATGATATCAAATATTATCAAAGTTCCTTCATCAAGACATGATGCCATTTTTAGCTTATTTGATTTCTTAAACCATTGCTTAAAGGAAGCGAATGTGAGGATGAAACAGCAACTAAAAAAAAGTAGGGGGGGTGAGAGGGTGGAAGAAAGGAAGGGAGGAGAGACAGATAAGAAAATAAAAGCGAAGGTTCTCACAGAAGAGCAAGCCTTCTTTTTGCTGCTCTGACTCTGGTGAAGATTTCTAACTTATCCCAGGTCCTGTTCCATTTTAAGTCAATCCAATTCAAATATTTGTGAGCATCTGCTATATGCAGAATTGGTCTAGGTGTAGTACATCATTTCTGAGATTGATGATAAAACTACAACTTGAAAAGCACACACATTCACATAATGTGACCACACTTCCTCTCAGGATGCCTGGTTTCTAGAACTATCTTGGACAACTAACACTTATGGCTAGCTTAAAAGATATGACTTAATTCAACATGATGGTTTTTGACTGGTTAAAAATACAGGCTCTGGAAACTTCACTTCTCATTACTGCCCAACCCTGGCTTTCCCTGTCCTCTCCTCCTCAACACACACAGAATCGCACACAATTCAATGATGCCCTGGTCCCTGGAACACATCTGAGTCCTGTCACTGCCAACTCCTTAAGAAATACGTGTTCACTCCTAATTGCTTCTGCGAGAATACATTCAGCATCTATCACAGGGCCTTTAAACTTCAAGCACAGATTGTGTTGCCATACATAAATAGGTGACAGCTATGAGTATTTCTGGGAGAATCAAAAAAATGAGGTCCTGGTGCCAGACTGCCATTAAAAGTGAATGAACTAAGGTGAATACTGACCAAAGCTGAGGTTGAGATCAGGATTCAAAGAAGGAAATGCCACCAATCCCAGGAGTAAAATGGAAAATGGACAAATCCCAGCAACAAAACCTACTGCAATCTAAGAAATTCACAGCACTACCT